GCATCCCCGACTCCCGCACTTCAGCTACCCCTGCCTGCCTTGTCTCCAGTCAAGTCTCCAGTTGTGTCTCCTGTGGTGTGTAGTCTCGTGCTCCCGGACGTCGAGGCTGTGCCCCGGCCTGTACTGTGTCCGACAGCTGTGTCTTCGGCCTGTGTCGACGTGCACGCTGTAATGTCTCCTGCGGTGTATGGTCCTGTTCCCCGGGTTGATGAGGCTGTGATATTGAGTGTACACTGCGTGGAGTTGCACGGTCAACCAAAGGTTCTGCTACAGTGCCTCCTGGCGGGGGTGATAGTTCTGACGACCTGCGACCTCTGTCCAAGGGTTTGCAGCGAGCTTCGAGTCTGTCTCCGCCTCATGGTGAGGCCTGGGCTGACGTCTGGGATTTTGGCGACTCCGGGAGTTCGTCTTATGTGGATGATGACGTGGGTGACGATGTTGGAGTGCCTGCGGCTCCTGTGGGCCGTGTTGTATGGGTGATGGGATTGTCGCCTGGCCCTGGTCCTGTATCTTCTCCGGCTGCCTCTGCATCCCCGGTTTCTGGTTCACCGAGTTAAGAGGTTGTGGCACCGGCCGAGGTTGCAGGAGAGGGTGGGGACTTGGTGCTGGTTCTTAAGAAAGATTCAGTTCCGGCAGCCCCGGTGCCTCTGGCGTCCATGTCTGTTCCTTCTGCGCATGTGCCCTTGGTGATGCCGACCACTGCGCGGCTGCCGTCTACTCAGCCGTCCTTTGTTACTCCGCCCCCTGTGGTGTCGGCCCCTGCACGATCGCCCTCTGTGATTGTGTCCCCTGCGACTGCTCGCTATGTTGGCGCCCGGCTCCTGTGCTTCAGCCCCATGTGGTTCCACCTTCTGTACCGAAGAGCTCTGTGCGGCCTCTTCCAGTGACTTCCGCCCCCGTGGTGGAGGGCGCCAAGCTGGATGTTCCTGACTTCATGCATCGACTGCGAGGATCACGTAGTCAACGTTAACACGTGTGTGGAATTGTGGGCTCGGTGGGATGCCTATAGGAAGAAGTACCTGCAGCGTCTATTTCCGGATAAATATGAGGATGATTAACTGTGTGTGGTTCTTGTTTTGTGTTGCTTTATTTCTTTATTTGTTTTGATGTGCTGTGAGCTAGGAGTTAATTTTTCACGTGTTTCTTGTGCCTGGTTCTTGTTGGGCTATAGTGCTCTGGTGTTTTTTCTTTTCTGACTATTTCATTGTTACCTATGTTTTTGTTACTATTTTGTGTTTTGTACGACTTTTGTTTGTGTGTTTTCTTGTTCTAACGTTTGTTCTTGTGTTTCTTGCCTTGACAATGTTATTGATGATGATGTTTTTCTATTGTTGTATTTGTGTTTTTCCAAATAAAAAGAAAAAAATTACTTTCTGTACCACATCCCAGAGTAAGGTGCCGGCCAATGACTACCACACTCCAGGGGTAAAGTGCCAACCAATGACTGTCAGTAGGCTGTTAACCGAGGTGTTTGCCTAGCTCTGGGCGGAGGTGGACGTGTCGCCTGTGAGCTCGTGGTTTGCTGACCCGTGGTAGTTTGTGTGTGTGAGCGGACCCTTGGGGCCGTGGCGGCTGGAGGGATGGTGGCCCCCCTCCCCCCTGTGAAACAGAGGGATACCATTGGCCTGGAATTTACTGGCCCAGCGTCTTACCCGGCAGTTGAGGTGGTGATGATTGACATGTTGCGGGTGGATGTGGTGTCTGTGTGCGGCGTTCAACTTGTATCCGAGCATCGAACTGTTGTGAAATTCTGCTCTACGGCTGTGTATCATGACATGGTGGAACGCTATGACGGGAGGACATTTACTCTGCCTGAGGGTGGTGGTTTGGTGGAAGTGTTGGACAGGTGCAGTGAGACTACCTATGTGGTGGTTCATGGTACTCCCTTTGAGTTCCCAGACTCTCTTCTCCAGCGTCACTTTACCCGGTATGGGCGGGTCTTGAGTGTCTGGATGAATGCAGTGTCCTCCGGGCAGTGGAAGGGTATCCCGAATGGGACCCGCACTGTGGTGCTGCGCTTGAAGGACTCCATCCCTTCGTCTCTCCAGCTTCTGGGCTTCATGGTACGTGTGTTCTATGGGGGGGTCAGCCCCGGACGTGTTTCCAGTGTGGACTCTCGGGCCATCAGGCTGCGGGATGTGATGCGAGCCGGGTCGGGCCTGTGAACCTCTTCGGGGAGGAGGACTTTCTTCCGTTGGCAGTCCCGGACCTGTCGGACGGTGCTGCAGTGGAAAGTGTTACTTCCCGGTCTTCTGGTGCCCCGTTGCCGGTCTCTGATGCCAGCCTCGATGTGGCTGTGGGTGTCGGAGTGGAAGGAAGTGCATCCCGGCTCCCGCACCTCAGCCTCCCCCTGCCTGCCTCGTCTCCAGTTGTGTCTCCTGTGGTGTGTGGTCTCGTGACTCTGGACGTCGAGGCTGCGCCTCGGCCTGTACTGTTTCCGGCAGCTGTGTCTTCGACCTGTGTCGACGTGCACACTGTGATGTCTCCTGCGGTGGGTGGTCCTGTTCCCCGGGTTGTTGAGGCTGCAATGTTGAGTGATCGTGCACTGCGGGGACTTGCACAGGCAACCAGCGGTTCTGCTACGGTGCTTCCTAGCGGAGGTGATAGTTCCGACGATCTGCGACCTGTGTCCAAGCGTTCGCGGCAAGCTTTGATTCTGTCTCCGCCTCGTAATGCGGCCTGGGCCGACGTCGGGGAATTTGAGGACTCCGGGAGTTCGTCTTCTGGGGATGGTGATTTGTGCGACGCTGTTGGAGTGCCTGCGGCTCCTGTGGGTCGTGTTGCAACGGTGATGGGTCCTGTGGTGGGATTGTAGCCTGGCCCTGGTCCGGTGTCTTCTCCGGCTGCCTGCGCATCACGGGTTGCTGGTTCCCCGGGTTGGGAGGTTGTGGCACCGGCCGAGATTGCGAGAGAGGGTAGGGGCTTGGTGCCGGTTCTTACAAATGCTTCTGTTCCGGCGGCCTCCGTGCCTCTGGCGTCCATGTCTGTGCCTTCCACGCCTTTGCCCTCTGCTCAGTCATCCTTTGTTACTCCGTCCCTTGTGGTGTCGGCCCCTGCACCATCGCCCTCTGTGATTGCGTCCCCTGCGACTCCGCCCGCTAAGTTGCCGGCCTGTGTCCGGCCGACTCCTGTGCTTCAGTCCCGTGTGGTTCCACCGGCTGTATCAAAGCCCTCTGTGCGGCCTCTTCCCGTGCCTACCGCCTCCGTGGTGGAGGGCGCCGAGCTGGATGTTCCTGACTTCATGCATCGACTGCGAGGGTCACGTAGTCACGTTAACGAGCTTATGGAATTGTGGGCACAGTGGGATGCCTACAAGAAGAAGTACCCTCGTCGTTTCTATCCGGATAAATATGAAGATGATTGACTGTGTGTGTGGTTCTTGCTTTGTGTTGCTTTATTTCTTTCATTGTTTTGTTGAGCAATGTGATACAGGTTCCTTTTTTTTCCTGTTTTCTTACCGAGCTGGGTTATAATGCTCTAGTGTTTTTTCTTTTTTGCCTGTATTTCATTGTTACCTATGAGTAAGATTCCATTTTTGTTTATGCTTATTTACGATTTGTTCTATTATGTGTCCTATTTACTGTATTCTATGTTCCAATGTTGGTTTGTGTTATACCGATTCTTTATTTCTCATTTTTTAATTTGATATTTTACTTTGTAATGCAAATGTGTTCTGTTTCCTTTGATCTATGTATTGTGTTGTGTATTGCTTTGTTGTATTCCCTTGTTATTTTCCTGCATTTTGTTTACTATGTTGTATTTCTAGTGTTATATTACCATGTTCTGTTATTGTGTTCTCGATTCTGTGGTGTGTTGTCTGCTGTTGTGTGGTGTGGCGCATGGTGGGTGTGTTTTGTGTTTGTGTTAGTTTGTGTTATTGTGTATATGTGTATTCCTTGTATATATTTTACCCTTGGTTTTATGGTGCTCTTTGTGCGCTTTTGTCATTACAGACGCTTTTGGCACGCCCCATCTGGGTAGTGCTGCTTTTGCTTGTGTGTGTGTGTTCTTATGAGTTTTATGTTATTCTTTGTTTTCACTTTTGTGTTATGTTGATCTGTGTTACGTGTTATGTGTTGTTGTTATTCTGCGTTCTTTGTTCTTCTGCGCTTTCCTGTTATATGGTTACTGTACGCTGTAATTGCTCTGTTTAAAAAAAAAGAAAGAAAAAAAAATGACTGTCAGTACCACATCCCAGGGTAAGGTGCCGACCAATGACTGTACCACACCCCAGGATAAGGTGCGGACCTGTGACTGTGTGTACCACACCCCAGGGGTAAGGTGCCGACCAATGATTGTACCACATCCCAGGGTAAGATGCCGACTATAATTAAGTAACCATGTTGATGGTAGTGGGTGTTGTCTATCAGTCTAGATAACACTGCTTAGTGTTCTCTGCTGACGCTAGAAAAATCTGTGGTTGATGTTCGTTTGTCTAACTTAGAAAACCTTCACTCTGCGACCTTACCTATTGATGCTGATGCTGTTAAAGATGACAAATATCTACACATTACCACACTTGTATTCTCAATAAAGCATGTTAATGTTTACGCTTCCTTACATAGTGCACATGTAAAGATTCATTAATTGTTAGGTCCGGTTTTGGTGAGATCGCTGTACAGTTCCCTCGTTCTCACACGTAATGACCAGTGACCCGCACACTATAGATACCAGCCACTAAAATGCGTCCTCCAATTACAGGTCATTGTCCTCTAGAGTTAAGGTTTTTACACTTATTGTGGAGTAAACCCCTTTAATTTAGACTTTTTTCAAGCCTGAAAAACAGCGAGATTTTGGGAAACAACCGGAATTAATGTTAATAGTTATTTAGACGAAGCATTCTACTGTTCTTCCTTAACATAACTTTTGTGCCTCATTTTTCTCTATGTCATCTTACAGCTGTTTTTTATTATCTGTAAAAGATAGACTAAGGTTAATTAGTACACTAATTTGGAATCACTAGATGGATGAGAGCACTTCATTAGCAGAGTTGGTAACACTGGGGTGTTGACTTGGGTGGAGCCTCAGCCAATGACAGTTCATATGTGTTGCTTGTGTTGGTGTGAGCTGTTGTGCTCCTCCTCCTCCCTCCATCAGTGTTACCTTCAGTGTCAGAAGGTGAGCTGTAGTGTATAGACGTATTTAAATTATTTTTCCTCAGGGAAGACTATAGTTAAAGTGTGAAAAAAATTTAGGGACTGTATAACTGTTTTAGTAACTTCGTATAACTACAGTCTATTTGCCAAATGCAGTAGTTTTGTTGAAAGAGTGAGCAGAGTGTATTTGCTCTGTATTTGTGAAAGATGCTGTGATTGGTGTAATTGTGCAATATGAGTAGATAAATTCACAAATGTTTGTAGTTATTGCCGACGTTGTCAGGAGGGAATATAATGTTGGAGGGACTGTGAGACGAGCAGCTCTTACTTCTCACCGCAAATATGGTTCCTGCACGCTATAAATACTACCTTCCTTGCCATGTTATATTCTGCTCTTTGTAGAGCAACTCTTGGTGTTTGGTGTCGTGCAGGAATAGCATAACAGTACAGTGGATAGCACATTTAACTTGGAGAGAATGCAATATTGATCCATCTCCATTATGGTTTAAATTGGCTTCTGTGTTGACTTCCAATAACGGTGCGTTGAATTGGCATATTTTTAAGAAATTGCTGGTAACACGCCCCGCCATTGGCAGGGAGTTTGTATTACAGTATTTAAAACATTCCAGATATCTGGATTTATTGCAGACATTAGGACTCTTCTTAATGTGATTTGTGTATTTAAAATGTATACCACCTCCTTCTTAGTCCGTCGGCTTGTGATTGAAGGTGGACTTTTAAGTTTTGTGAAGGTAATATAGTAACTGTGTAGTTGTAAGTAGGCTAAGATTTTACCACCAGGTTATGGCAGTCTTAGTGAGGTTATATTTACATCTAATGCATGTTGCATATTGACCGTTGTAACATATCTTGAATATATAATTACTAGGTTTAAAGATTAAAAATTATTAAAGTGCGGCATTTGTGTGATCAGATAAGATATTCCTTAAAAGTATTTCGGATTAAAGTGTAAACTTGTATGGCATTATTTCAGATTATACTGTGCTTTTTGAGTCTTAAACAGGCAGGTGTTGCATGGTTCAGTATGTGGTGTGGTAGGTCTGGTGACTTTAGTTTTCTCTTCCCAAACATCCCCACCCCAAGAGTGGCGACTGGTGGCGCTGGTTACGCTAGATTCCCTATTCTAAAATAATTTTTGTTTTGAAGTGACAATTTTTTGTCGAGTAGTTCTATTTACATAATTTGAATTGGAAAGTGCAGGAACCGGTGAAGCTTTGACACCTCCCTGACCCACAGTCTACACATCTTCCATAATATTCCCCACCTAATACCCTTGCCAAGTAAAATTGTTCATACCCCCCCCCCTTTCCCGGGGTCACAAACACAGGTCATCGACCGACACAGCCCTGACCACCAGTCGTGTCACCCATGCCCAACCCTTCATCATCCTCGCCATCAGTTTGTAAAAATGTTTACTAAAGTATCTAATTTTTACCTCACTGTTGTAATGCCTGACATAGACAAGGTATTTTAAAGAGTTGACTGCCATAACGACCCCTGTAGTTGTACCTAGGAAGATGACTACGAAGCTGGCTAGTGGTCACCGGGTGGAGGCCATGAGCGAGGAGTGGCTGGCCAGGATGGAGGAGGAACAGACGCTCTACAACCATGGTATGATCCGCCTCAGGCCCGGAGGCTATCTCTACCCGACACTCTTCACCAAATATGCTGACACCATCTACAACTTCAAGGTGTGTTGTCATTGTTACTCTGACCCTTGAATATTGGTTATATACTTGGTCCGAGGGGGAGGGGGGGGACTGGACTTGGATCCCTCGCCCCTGGTATATATGTGGGTAACAATTGTATACACTTGTGTTCTCTCTAATGTATACTACAATAAGTTTCTCTTCAGTTCACTGAAGGTGACGTACTTGTGATGGGAATGCCCAGGTCTGGGACGACCTGGATGTTGGAGTTGGTGTGGACGATGCTTCACAACCCCGACCTCAACAACCAGAGGGCCGACCTGCCCATCTTCATCAGAGCACCGCATATAGAGTATGACATTCTTATTAGTTTATCAGTGTGATTGTCTTCGTAACGCCTGGGATCAGTGGTATAATAACTATTGTAGTCTGATTGCGCCTAGTAAATCGGTAGGATTTTTTTATTTTTAATTAGTGCTTAGCTCATTAAAGTTCTCAGAGCCCCGATTTAGATAGCTTTTCTGTAGAAACTACTTTATTGTAAAGATAGTTCAGCAAGTGGCAGTAAATTTGCAAATTTGTGGACGTACCTTAGACAAAATTCTGGTAATTTTGAAGACCAGATAATATTAGCGAAGATCTTACGAATGTTCTTAAATATTTCTCGTAAATAATTTAACTATTTTATATCTCTACAAAACAGACTATTTTTGTATTTTTTGGATGAAATTTCATAACGATTACACTGCTGCTTAACATTGCACCGGATGTGGATAAAATGATGTTGGCAGATATTTTAATCAGACTGGGTGCCGGTATATCTTTTGGCATTTCCTGTGTTAGTACTTTACGTTCTTAGACTAGACCTAAAATGGTTTGTTCAAGGGTTGTTCAGATTAGTGCGTCAATTTATTTGGGGAGGGGAATTATCTTGAGAAATAATGGTTATTACGACTATATATAACTTGGGAGGGGTCAAGACATTTTGCGAGCGTTTTTACTTTTCTGTAATTAATACGGCCTCACCCAAGCTTGACTGTAAAATTAGGTAATGCATTAGGCTCAAATACCGTTTACCTTCTACCTCGTCTTGTTTCACTGCATTTTCTTCCGCCTCTAGAGTTTTGTGAACATTGCAACTAATTTTCATTAGTGGGGGGGAAAAAGGGGGTTGGGGATTGTAAATTCATTAAAAGATTAATATTGTTTAAGGCGGTGCTGGGCGAGGAGATTTTTTATAAAATGTTTGGTGGACAGAGGTCCTGGAGGAAAGGTGTGTGGAAATAGTTAAGATTCTAATTGGAAAGTCATCTGTAATACTTTAGCATTGTTGCTGGAGCTTTTGAATTCTGTGAACGTTTTGGCTTGTCCGGGTCAAGTGCAGTTCTCTTCCTTAAAGAACCATATTAAGAATTAATCCAAGTGACTGGATGTATTAATTGTTTCGCACTTGAATCAGTGAGATAACTGACAGCCATCAGGATATTTTTAATGCTTCATGTGATAATACCATGACTAATTCCACCAGAGTGACATTTCTTTCTCGAGGAAAGAACGCAAATTAACTTAATGTTTTAGGCTCTGCTCTGTACCCTGGTGGACCTCATCCTTTACAACTACTAGTTAAGTGAGAGCAACAGGTACTGTTGTAGAGGTTTTTGCTATTGGCAACTGTGATTGAGCGTTTCAGCGGAGCTGTGAATAAGATGACCTACTTGAGGAATATTTGGTAGTTATAATTTCATTGCATAACACTAGGCTATGCTAGTCCGTCTGTCGGTGCGGGCTGATGTCCATCGCTCTCCTAACGGCCGGCGTGTGTGCTCTCGTTCAGTTTGTTGAGATGCTGGAATTCGTTGCCCAGTACGTAGTTGCTGGGACACCGGTCTCTTTCTCAGAAGCGTAAGCCTGGCTTCTCTCCTTCCTCCTCCCCTGCGGGTAAGAAGGCTTTGATTTCTTCCTCGGCCCCTACTTCTTACTCTATCGCTCCTTCCCCTGCTATGGAGGTTTCTTTGGCCCCCCCGCTTCCCTCTCGGTTGCTGCCCTTGCTGAGGTGCGCTCCCCTCTTTCTACTCCCCCTCTCCCTGCCTCTGTCCTTGACCGCTCCTGTCGATTACCTCCTCCTTCCTCTTTCTCCTCCTCAGGATCCCGCCCTTACACCTCTGATCTGTTATCTCGCTTCATTCCCTCCGTCTTTGCTCAATTTACCCATCCCCCCCTAACCTTGATTTTGCTGATCCTGTTCTTCTTTAATGTGATATGTTCCTCTTTCACCGTTTTCTACCTTGTTCTGTTGCCTTTTCTCTTCTCGTCAATGTTTATTCTTCAATGGAACGTTTGGGGTTATTACGCCAATTTCCTTTAACCCTAAATTCTGATTTCGCGGTTTTTGCCCACTTTGTGTCTGTCTCCAGGAGCCGATGCTTGGTGCTCTTCCTGGTCGCTTTCGTGGCTATTCCTTCCCCCCCCCCCCCCAGTTGCTGGGGCTCCTAACGTTTCTGCTCTTGATTCGCTCTGATGTTCCCTTTGTCCCCTTACTTTTTCCTTCGCCTCTCCATTGTTCTGCGGCTCGTATCTTTGTGGGGAAATGGTACACTGTTTGTTCCATTTATCCCCCACCCCGAGTGTCCCGCTTTTATTTCCTGATCTGTACCTACTGGACACCTTGTCGGAGTGATTTCCTGCTGGGTGATTTCAATTGTCATTCCCTTTGGGTTGATGTTCTGACGAACACCCGAGGTCGCCTTCTTGAGCAGTTTATCCTCTCTTCTTCCCCGTCTTCTGAATTCTGGTGAGCCCACGCATTTGGTCTCGGACTCGCACCCTTTCTTGTCTATCTTTCTTTTTGCTCTTCTCTTTACTTAGATTTCATGTGGCAGGTTCTTGATGACCTCCATGGCAGTGACCATTTCACCATCCTTGTTACCTTTTCACCCTCTCCTTCCCTAGGTGGCAGTTTGTTAAAGCGGACTGGAACCTATTTACCCTCGGTGCTACTCTCTCTGGCCTCTCTCTGGCCTCTCCCTTCTGCCTCCCTCTTTCCTCCTTTTTCATGACGCTGTCTTTGACGCTGCTCTCGGCTCTATTCCTCTCTTCCTCTGTCAACGGAAGTGCATTCCCTGGTGGAATGCAGACTGTGCTCGGGCTGTCCGCCGTTAGCGTGCAGCCTGGAAGAGACCCCGCTGTCGGCAGACAGTCGATTCTTTTTCTTTGCTTTCGGAAAGAGAGTGCGGTGGCCCGTAGGGCCATCCGTACGGCTAAACGTGAATGTTGGGCATCTTATGTCTCCACCATTACGTCCGAAACTCCTCTGCCACAGATGCTTCGCCATCTCCCTCCGTGCACATCGCGGTATGTACAGAGTCTGTATAATCGGATCTGGGAGTCGTGGTCAGTCCCCGAGGACTGGCTCGATGCCGTTGTCCTCCGTTCGCAAACCAGGGTCTCTGCGAACATCCCAAAAGGACTTTCGCACTATTGTCCTCACAAGTTGTCTTTGAACGTATGGTTAACGTTCGTCTGATGTGGTTCCTGGAACACAATTACCTCCTCTCCTCTTCTCAATTTGGTTTCTGCAAGTGCTGGAGCACAACAGATGTCCTGGTGAACTTGGAGGTCTATATTCGTACTGCGTTTGCTGTGAAGACCTCCGTTGTTGCCGTCCTCTTTTACCTGGAAAAGGCTTACGACACCACTTGGCGGTATCATATTCTGTCCCAGCCTCATTCTTTTGGCCTTCGTGGTCATCTCCCTCTTTCTCTGCAGCTTCCCCTCTCGTCGTTCCTTTCGGGTGAGGCTTGGTATCACTTTCTGCCTCTTTTCAGCAATACAAAGGTGTGAAGTGTTCTGAGCACTATTTTTTTCTGGTTGCCCTCAATGGTCTTCTTTCCTCTCTTCCTTCAGGCGTCTTCTCCGCTCTGTCGATGATTTTACCCTTTGTTGTCAGGGTGGTGATTCGCCTCTCCTTCAACGCAGACTTCAACTTGCGATTGATGCCGTGTCGTCTTGGGCCACCGATTATTGCTTAAAGTTCTGTACTACTAAGACTTGTGCCATGACTTTTACTCGGAAACAGATCGTTCTTCGTCCCTCTTGTCACTTTATGGTCATCCCCTTGAGTACAAAGATTCCGCGAAGCTTTTGGGGTTATTCCTTGACACTTGTTTGTCTTGGTCTCTCCATATCTCTTACCTCCGTGTTGAGTGCTCTAAGGCCCTTACCTTCCTTCGGGTATTGTCCCATACTTCTTGGGGAGCGGATAGGCGCGCACTCCTTGCTTTACATTCCTCTCTCGTCCTGTCTAAGCTTGATTATGGTTGCCCCGCTTACTAGTCTGCTTCTCCTACTCATTGCCGTCTTGATGCTTTGCACAATACTGGGTTGCGCCTCAGTTCTGTTGCCTTTCGTTCGACTCCCATCCTCGGCTTGTATGTTGGCACTGGCTTCCTATTTCTCCAGGATCGCCGTGATCGCAACTGTCCTCGCTATCTTGCGGGTCCTTGCAACATCCTTCCCTTCACCTGTCATGCTTTAGCTTTTACCCCTCCTGCGGTTCTTGTTCCTCTTCACCAACTTCCTCTTTCTCGGGTAATCTCGCTTACAGTATTCTTTCCCCGTTCCTATTTCTAACATTTCTCCTCGTGTTCCTTCTTTGCCCCCGTGGAGAGTCCCCGTTCTGCAGTTTTGTACATCGTTGACACGCATCACTAAAGCTCTTACCCCTCCTACGGTTCTAAAACGCCTTTTCCTTGAGCATTTTTCTTCTCACTCGCACTCCGTTTCCGTCTTCACCGATGAGTCTAAGTCTGCGGACGGTTTTGGCTACTGTTTTTTCCTGATCACACTTGTGTGTCGCTTACATCCGGAGAATAGCATCTTCACAGCGGAGCTTTGTTATGCTCTTCGTCTCCTTCTCTCTCGTTGTCAATCTTCCTTTGTAGTTGTTGTTGTTGACTCGTAGTGCCCTCATGGCTCTCGGGTCCTTTAATCCGGTTCATCCAGTGGTTGTCGAGTTCTAGCATTGGCTGTTTCTTGTTCACAGTAAATTTAACTCGGTTGAGTTTTGTTGGGTTCCCAGCCATATTGGTGTCTTCCAATGAGTGCGGATGCTGCCACCAGGCTAGTTGTCCGCTAGTGTCCCATCTCTCGTAAAGGTATTCCTTATTCCGACTTTTACATGGTTATCCATACCTCCATCCTTACCCGCTGGCAGGCTTGTTGGTCATATGTTACTGGTAACAAACGACGTTTTCTTGAAAGTAGAGTCCTCGTGGCCGTCCTCCTACCACCGTAATGGGAAACGGCTCTGGTGAGGTTGCAGGGGGCGGCGGCGGCCTGTGAGAAGGTGCACTCTTCCAACAGCATGTGGTTTGTTGACGGGATCCAAACGGTTGCTTTTGTTAGTCTTTTCTCGATATTAAAGGTACTTGGCTTTACTTCACGAATGTGTTTTTATCGCCTTGGATTTAGAATGCTTTCAAAGCTTTAGCACTCAAACTGATGGGTAGTTTGGTAGGTGTGGTCAGACCCCATGCCTGGGAACAACTTGGTCAATCGAGGAATGGTTAGTAAAATGCTTGACAAGTTGGAAAAACAAATTGTGCATAATTCACTAACTTTTCTCTGAATTATGTTTTCCCAGGTGAAATTGGAGACTGGAAGAACCACTTTTCGCCAGAGCTCGAGCAAGAGATGAATCTGTGGATCGAGGAGAATTGTGGAAACACAATTTTCAAATGATACTCTAGTCTCTGCACATGGCACCGGAAAAACTAGTTGAACGATTGTTTTAATGGCTGATAATTTGTTTATAGGCAAATGTTTTGAAATAATTTTTAATGCCTTCAATAACTTTAATATACTCATGGGTGTAAAAAGTTTTGTACAGTAAACATAATTTATTGAAATTAAGCATCTGAACTTTGCTCTTAAAATTCGGTTCAGTAATACTTTCATCATAATTTCATTGCTCTAACATGCAGTTGAATACTTGAATTGGATTCAACAGAGCAAGCATACTTCTAAAGTGGTTTTCAAATTAGTGTTAGGCATTAAACTACTTTAATAGCAAAGTTTTTCTGTAGTGGCAGATCAGATGTCGGTCGCGACCGAACTAGGTTCACACTTTTCGGCTGTTGACCGTTTCATTTATTCCTCCCTCTGTCCTTTTTCGGAATCCCTATCTTGAATCTTGTCGCTTTGCCCGTTTTGCATACATCTCCAGCTATCCCAAGAATTTCTCTCTCCTGCAACTCGTCTACTCTGATCGTCTTCTGTTCTATGGCAGCTGCCTCTGATGACACAGACGCTATGGCATCTCCCTCCATGCACAGTTTATTGGCCGAATAATTATAACCGTATCTGGGGGAAGGGAAGGGTCGGGTCGAGAAGGGTCGTCAGTTCCCGGGGAGTGACTTCAAGCAGGTGGTGTTCCTTGTCAGAAATCAGGTTCACTTGGGACGAGGGTACCCCCAAAGCAGTGTTCTCAGCACTTTATTTTTCCTGGTTGCCTTCAATGGTATTCTTTCCAGCCTTTCTTCTAGGCATTTCTCCACTTTCTATGTTGATCTTGCCCCTCTGCTATGGAATTGAAGCAGTCATCCTGGGGCCATCATTTATGGCTCGAGTTTTCTGCTACAGATGTGTAAAGGTTAAGACTTTTAATAGGAAGAAAGTTTCCCGTCCTTCGTTTTTGCGTTATTGCAGTCCTCTTTGTATACAGTTTAACTTTCGCGGTTAATATTTGACAAGATTGTCTTGGTGGCCTCCCGTCTCTTGCCTCGCAGTTGAATGTTTTAAGGCCTTTAACTTAGTCTTGTCCAATACTACTTGGAGAGATGTGCTACTCTATTTACATTCCTCTCGCATGCTGTCGAAACTCGGTTATGACTCTGGTTTACTAGTCTGATTCTCCTTCAACTCCTCGTCTTGATGATCTTCACCATACTAGGTTACACCTCGGCTCTGGTGTTTGGGCCGGTACGGGGTCGTTAGACTCCTGACCCTGTGTGTTTTACTGGCATCCTGGCTTTAAAAGATCGTAGTGATCCCTACTGTCCATGCTACCTTGCGCGGTCCCTACAACAGTCACACTCGCTTGTGTTGTGCTTTGATAGTTGCCTCTTCCGTAGGCCCCTGTTCCTCTTGACCTTTTAATCGTTTTCTCTCCCTTGCAAGATATTGTTAGTTGCCAATATTTGTGTCGGTCCATCCTAGCCCCCATTGAGAGGTCACCATTACAAATCTTTGCAAAACCTAGACTAGCATTGCAAAGGCTTATGGTGATGTCCACTGTACGTCTATTGTTCATGTTAACACTTGTATAGTGCATACATGGTCCAGAAGCTATCATTTTCAAAGGGAAGTTGCAGGGGGAGGGCTGATAGTACTTACAATCGTGTATTGCATATATGGATATCTATAGAGCTATTGTGTATATAATGTAAAAATATATTTATTACACAATTGAACACAAATACATGTTTGATAAGATTAGATTTGAGACAAGTGGGAATACTTATGTTACTTTTTCTTAAAGCAACATAAAAATTGATTGTTTCATCGTTTAAAGCTTGCTAAATGTAACTAGACCCATGAGAGCTTTTATTTGTATAAACCTAATTAAGGTTTAGTTATGACTGTTCTTTCGCTGGCCTTCATAAGAGATGGCTCCAGCTGAACTTCCAGTCGCCCTACATTGGACATTAGAGCTATGACCAGATTTTACTTTTGGGCTCTGAAGGGAGCCAGTGTTCAATAGTAGTTACCTTTAATAACTCCTATTAAACCATGGTGTAGTTAAGTCTTGGTTGAATATATATTTTAAATTTTTTTTGAAAAATAATTTAATCTTTAACCCTAAATTTCAATCATGGTGCTTAATGGTTATTTGATGGTTTTTCAGGTGGTGTACATTGCTAGAGATCCCAAGGACGTGGTTGTATCGCTATTCTATCACTTCTGTAACGTAAAGTTCCACAACTATACTGGCACCTTCGACAACTTCGTCAAACATTTCATGAACAATGATTGTAAGTAAATCAGTTGTGGTGTTTGAGAAGCCTCGACAAGGTGGCACAAATTAAATGCTCGGATAAAGCTAACACGATCAGAACGTAATATTTAAGGTGTAAAAAAATACTATTCATGCGACTTGTTATATCATTGCCAACACATTAGTACAGATTTAACAAAGTGTAGCACCACATGAGGACAATTGGTATGCTAAAAGTTCCCCCCACACGGTCATTTAGTATCCACGACTCCACAACTTGTGTATTTGGCAGCTGCCAGTTAACTATAGGTGCAAGTTATAATTTGTTTCCATCCAGGGCATAACTTCGTAAATTATTACGGTTGTTAGTGCTTGTATTTGGTAGTTTTAAATATTGATCTTTCCGTTCTCCTGCTGAATGGTAACTTTAGTGTTGAAGAGGCTTCTATACTGGGCTATAGGTCTGGGGGGTTACTAGACATTTGGTAGTCTGTTTGGACAAATTGGCAGATGGATTAGAACCTGACCTTGAAGTAGTCTATTGCCTGGTACCACCAATGTATATGCGGGTTTACTTCTGGTTTACAACTTTGGTGTTGTAGTACAATGGCAGTTTAATTGCTGCTCCTACTCAATTTACTGGTATACTTGGACTTGTGGTTAAGCAGGCATAACATCGGCACATATGGAATCTGGTGACATCTACTTAGTTACTGACCTGACCTGTTATCTTACTTAGACGTGTTTTCTGCATCAGGCCATGTACCCCCATGGTGGACCCCATGGTGGACCTGGTGGACCTTACCAGCTATACAGCAAAACTTGGAGTTTTGGACTCATAATTTTCCTAAAATCGCAAACCGGGGCCTTTTTTAACACTTGAGAAACCCCTTCCCAATCCTACTTTCTGCCAAAGGTGTTGGTCAAAATCATTTTGGTCACATTACCGATGACCTCAGATGTGAGCCACATCTGATACACAACGAGGTTGCCTCTTCCAAACATGTGTTCCTTAGTGTCTTTTCTCACTCAAATTTCTTGGTAATCAGCCTACGATCACGCAAATTGGAGACAGGCACGACCCTCGATAGCAGGGTCACTGTGGTGATGAGGAAATAGTGATAACACCACGATAACAGGGGTGGTGGCGACAGAGGCACGGCTGCCACCACCAAACACGTCTTGCTCTCACATCGCCGGTCCTAGACTGCCTTTTGGCGGCCTAGGGGACTGGCAAGGACGCCCCCCCCCCCCACCTTGCCATGACCAATTAGAGCAAAGCAGGCGAGCCTACGATGCCACTTCCAAACACGGACGTTCCCGCCCAAAAGTCAAGAGGCTGACATGCCTCGACGAATGAAGTCCTTGGCCTTGTGGCATCTCGTGACGTCACACAGGGTGGGGGGAGGCCTAGGAGGAGGATGACTTCACACCGCACAGGATGGGGGGGGGGAGGCGACGCTCGCCCCTCTGCCCCCCCCCCCCCCCCCCCCCGCTGAAACCGTTGGCTGCTAGTTTAAAATCTCCCTCTACACATTTCTCGGTTAAACCTGTTAAATCCTGTAACTCTTTCCACAGAGCAGTTGGACTTCCTTGTAGTCTAAATACAGCCCTTACTTTCTGGTTTGTGCAGGCCTTCACATATGGGCATGTAGTGTGAGAACTTTTCTCTAGAGTGCAGCACACTCTGGTCTAATATAGAAAAACTAGCAGAGGAAATTCAGTCCCTCACACTGGGTAGTGTTGGCGAGGAAGTGTGATGTTCATAGTATTCTCTACTGAAAGCACTTGGCTGACAAAGTAAAGATGTGTTGATGGGTTGGGCGTTTGATTAGGACTTCAAATGGTGGCAGAATCTTGCCAGTCTGTTAAATATCATCCTCGGACATGTTCTGTTCTGTATTCGGTATTTCCTTCTTTATTGGAAGGAAAGCGTGTAAATGTTATAAGTAGGCGAATCCAGCTCTGTGTGTGTGTGTGTGTGTGTGTGTGTGTGTGTGTGTGTGTGTGTGTGTGTACTCGCCTAATTGTACTCGCCTAATTGTGCTTGCGGGGGTTGAGCTCTGGCTCTTTGGTCCCGCCTCTCAACCGTCAATCAACTGGTGTACAGATTCCTGAGCCTATTGGGCTCTATCATATCTACATTTGAAACTGTGTATGGAGTCAGCCTCCACCACATCACTTCCTAATGCATTCCATTTACTAACTACTCTGACACTGAAAAAGTTCTTTCTAACGTCTCTGTGGCTCATTTGGGTACTCAGCTTCCACCTGTGTCCCCTTGTTCGCGTCCCACCAGTGTTGAATAGTTCATCCTTGTTTACCCGGTCGATTCCCCTGAGGATTTTGTAGGTTGTGACCATGTCCCCCCTTACTCTTGTCTTCCAGTGTCGTGAGGTGCATTTCCCGCAGCCTTTCCTCGTAACTCATGCCTCTTAGTTCTGGGACTAGTCTAGTAGAAGGAAGGAACGTGTGTACGTGTGTACGTACGTGTACGTACGTGTACGTACTCGACTAGTTGTGCTTGCGGGGGTTGAGCTTTGGCTCTTTAGTCCCACCTCTCTACAGTCGATCTACTCTTGAACAGATTCCTGAGCTTCTGAAGCGCCCTCACGTCTACATTTGAGGTTGTATATGGAGTCGGCCTCCACCACATTCTAGTGCATTCCCTTTACCAACTACTGATACTGAAAGTTCTTTCTCAGTCTGTGGCTCATTTGGTTACTTGGCTTCCACCTGTCCCCCTTGTGAGTGTACCACCATTTTTTAAAAAATATATCCTTGTCTACCATGTAAATTCCCTCGAATTTTGTATGTACTGATCACGTGTCCCAGAGCTCTTTAGTCTTCCATCTACGTGAAGTGCAGTTCCTTCGCCCTTTCCTCGTAACTTGTGCCTCTTGGTTCTGGGACTAACCTAGTGGCATACATCAACTTTTTCCATCTTCGTCTTGTGCTTGACAAGGCACGGGCTTCATGGTGGAACAGCATACTGTGTTCAGGTTTGAGTGTTGTGCAGTGTTGTAGGTAGGTACCTTCTGTGTTTGGACAAATGGGATCAGGCTGCTCTAGCCAGTTAGTGTAGGTGGTTAGTATTGGCCACAAGTGCAAGTACTTTGTTTTTTCTTGACAGTTTAGTTGCAGTTCTCCTCGGTAGTAGTGTAATAGTGTACGATACTGAGGTCTGCAATAACTCAGTGTCGTCTTGAAATTTTAACTTCTAAATAATTATAAAATATTAATGTGTTCTTTAGCTAATTGCTTCAGTATCGGAAATAACTGCGTTTCATATAGCTTATTATACAAATATATTTTGGAGATAACTATATATTGCGAAATTTAAAGGCTTAACCTTTTATTTACCCATGTAAAACATTGAGTTAAATGTAGTTCGTATCTACAGTGTTGTACTGTCCCTACTGGCCCAACCTGATGATGGCCTGGGGGCAAAAGGATGAGACCTTTTTGCACTTTGTGTTTTATGAAGACTTTAAAGCTGACATAAAGAAGGAACTTGGAAAACTGAATGAGTTCTTGGGCACCAACCTCTCCCAACAGCAGCTTGATAATGTAAGTGTCATGATTACTCCTTTTAATGATTTCACATCTCGAAGTTAACTCACGGTTTTAGGGGGTAGCTCACGGTATAAGGGATGCTGGCCTAAGTTGACTCTCAGAACTAGTCTGGAGTAAATATTTTACCCCACTTACCGAGTGGTGGGAGGGGGAGGGAGGTGTTGCCCCAGGGCTGTTCTGGGACCTATTTAGCAATATTACATTTTTTATGGCGACATTGATACATCATTATTTGCTAATGTTCAAACTATAAAAATCGGGCAGAACATGAATTGTGAACACAAAGGACAAAAGACTACCTAAGGTTTAAAAATCTATGGAAGATTGGCAGAGGGAGTTGATACATTGAAGAAAAAACAAATGGAGGGTTGTAGAGTGATAAATACTAATTGCTCATTGGAGCTTTGAAAGTGTATTGACGATTAAACTAACTACATCTTTAGTTACAGAATAAAGTGATGTGATGTAAGTATGTGAATGGTGGAATGGGAGTAGAGTAATAAACTGCGTATGAATGTAAAGTACAGTATACTGCACATTACTCTTTGGTTTAGCTTATAATCGGGAGAGACCTGGGTAAGACGCGACGCGGACTGTGTGCCTCGGTGTCCACTCGTCTAGTTGTCTGCAGGATCGAGCATTGACTCTTGGATCCCGCCTTTCGAGCATCGGTTGTTTACAGCAATGACTCCTGTCCCATTTCCCTATCATACCTGGTTTTAAAATTATGAATAGTATATGCTTCCACAACCTGTTCCTGAAGTGCATTCAATTTTCCCCACTACTCTCACGCTAAAAAAAACTTCCTAACATCTCTGACTCATCTGAGTTAAAAGCTTCCATTCATGTTCCCTCGTTCTGTTACTATTCCGTGTGAACATTTCGTCTATGTCCACTCTGTCAATCCCTCAAAGTATTTTATACGTTCCTATCATGTCCCCCCCCCCCTCTCCCTTCTTTCTAGTGTCGTAAGGCACAGTTCCCTCAGGCGCTCCTCATACCCCATCCCTCGTTGCTCTGGGACGAGTCTCGTTGCAAACCTCTGACCCTTTTCCAGTTTCATTATATGCTTCTTCAGATGGGGACTCCATGATGAGGCAGCATACTCTAAGACTGGCCTCACGTAGGCAGTGTAAAGTGCCCTAAATGCCTCCTTACTTAGGTTTCTGAATGATGTTCTAACTTTTGTCAGTGTAGAGTACGCTGCTGTCGTTATCCTATTTATGTGCCTCAGGAGATAGATAGGTGTATGTCCACACCCAGGTCTCTTTTGCGCGTCGTCACAGTTAGGCTGTTCCCCTTCATTGTGTAATGTCCCTTTGGTCTCCTATCTCCTAGTCCCATTTCCATAACTTTACATTTGCTCGTGTTGAATTCCAGTAGCCATTTCTCTGACCATCTCTGCAACCTGTTCAGGTCCTCTTGGAGGATCCTGCAATCCTCACCTGTCACAACTCTTCTCATCAACTTTGCGTCATCCGCAAACATCGACATGTAGGACTCTACGCCTGTAAACATGTCGTTAACATATACAAGAAATAGAATTGGTCCCAGCACCGATCCTTGTGGTACTCCACTTTTTGCTGTTCGCCAGACCGACTTCTCGCCCCTTACCGTAACTCTTTGGTTCCTTCCTGTTAGGTAGTTCTTTATCCATGCTAGGACCCTTCCCCCCCCCCCCAGCCTGCCTCTCGTGCTTGAACAGCAGTCTCATGTGCAGTACTGTATCAAAGGCTTTTTGGCAGTCCAGAAATATGCAGTCTGCCCAACCATCTGTCCTGTCTTATCCTCTTTACTTTATCATAGAATTCCAGAAGGTTTGTTAGGCACGATTTCCCTGTCCAGAACCCATGTTGATGTTCACAAACCTAATGTTCTCCAGGTGTGCAACCAGTCATAGCCTAATTATTCTTAACAGTATTTTACAGGGGAGGCTTGTCAGTGATACAGGTCTATAGTTAAGTGCCTCCTCCCTATCGCATTTCTTGAAGATCGGCACGACATTTGCTTTCTTCCAGCAACTGGGCAATTCTCCCGACATAAGTGACTCATTAAAGATCATTGCCAGAGGCACGCTGAGAGCCTGCGCTGCTTCTTTTAGTATCCACGGTGATATTTTGTCTGGTTCAACTGCTTTATTTGCATCTAGAGTTGTCAACTGTTTCATTACCTCCTCTGTTGTCACCTCCTATATCTGATCGTCTTTCATCTAGGGTAACCCCTTCCAACAATGGGAGCTGCTCAGGCACGGTAGTGAACACTCCATGGAAACTGGCATTCAGTGCCTCGCAGATTTCCTTGTCACTTTCAGTATATGCCCCCTCTGTCTTCCTTAGTCTTGTCACTTGGTCGGTCACAGACAGTTCTTCTTATGACTGTGTAGTAACTTAGGTTGTTTTTTCGCTTTGATTGCAATATCGTTCTCATAGTCCCTTTCCGATGTTCTTCTTACATTAATGTAATCGTTCCTAGCTCTGCATCTGATCCTGTTGTCCTCTGTCCTTTGTCTTCTGTACTTCCTCCACTCCCACCTGCTGGCCATTTTTGCTTCCTGACACTGTCTATTAAACCATGGGTTATTATATTCCTTCTTATTTTTTACCTTTACTCTTGGTATAAATCTCTCTTCGGCCTCCTGTCCTTTCTGTATGACTAGGTCCATCATATCTTGGACTGTTTTTCCTCAAATTTCTTCCTCCCACTGCACTTCACCCAGATAGTCCCTTATCCTCTTAGTCCCCTTTCCTGTAGTCAGCTCTCCTTTCCCAGATCTCTTGTCCCATGGTCATCAGTTTGAATTCCATCATGTAGTCAAAGACTAGGACACAATGGTCACTGGCCCCTAGAGGTATTTCATGCTCTAAATTCTCCCTCTAATACGTTCTGGGTGAAAATCAGGTCTAATAGGCTCGGTGCATCTCCTCCTTTCCCTTGTCTTCCTTCACATGTTGTTAGGAAATTCCTGTCTATAACATCTACTAATTTTGCTCCCCACGTTCTGTCCCCTCGATGGGGATTCCTTGATTCCCAATTTATCTGATTTAGGTCCCCCATGATCAGCAGCTTCGCTCTCATTCTGTGGGCTAGTGTTGCTGCCTTCTGCAGTTCATCTATACATTCATACGTGTGTGTGTGTGTTTATTTTTTTTTGTCAGTTGCAGCAGTTTACCTAGCAGTAAATAGTACCTGGGAGTTAAACAGGGCATGAGGGAGAAAAACTCTGCCCATTTGTTTTTGCCATCGCCGGGGATCAATCCCAGTTCCCTAAGATAATCCCAAGTGCTGTCCACTTGGTGTCTGGCCCCATGGGGAAAGGGGGACGGGGTTGTCATTATGTATTCACCTAGTTGTATTCACCTACTTGTGCTTGGGAGCGGGGGGGGGGGGGGTTGAGCCCTCCTTAAGAGCCCTGCTCTTTTGGCCCTCCTTTCAACTGTCACAAATAAACTTGTTTTTTTTTTTTTTTTTTTCACACCACACACAGAGGAAGCACCTCGTAGCACCTGTCTAACTCCCAGGTACCTATTTACTGCTAGATAACATGAGCATTGGGGTGAAGGCTCGATTATTGGGGCTGGGCATTGTTTTTTCATTTGTGTGTAGGGGGGGGGGGATGTCCGGCGCCGGGATGTCGAGACTATTATTTTTTTTCACACACCACCAGCCCTGGACCACGGCTGGGGCTGGGCTCGATCACGCATCCAGCCTGCTGTCCAGTCAGCCACTGACCCCACACATCATTTTGTGTGTAGGGGAGGGGGGGATGTCTAGGAATTCACCTAGTTGTGCTTGCAGGGGTTAAGCTCTGCTCTTTCGGCCTGCCTCTCAACTGTCGATAAACTGTTTCTGCTACTATTATTTTTTTTCCACACACCACCAGGAAGCGGCCAGTGACAGCTAACTAACTCCCAGGTACCTATTTACTGTTTGGTAACGGGCATAGGGTGGAAAAACTCTGCCCCTAGTTTCTCTCGCGCGCACACACACACACACACACACACACGCGTGTGTGTGTGTGTGTGTGAACCTGTTGTGGTCATAATATTGGTTCCTTTCGCCAGGTTGCCGAACACTGTTCTTTCTCCTCGATGAAAGCTCGAAGTGAAAAAGATGCTGCAAATTATCACCAAGGTGCCCAGAAGAACGAAGGAGACTTCTTCAGGAAAGGTGTGTGGAAATAGTTAAGATTCTAATTGGCAAGTCATCTGTAATACTGAAGTATTGTTGCTGGAGCTTTTGAATTCTGTGAACGTTTTGGCTTGTCCGGGTCAAGTGCAGTTCTCTTCCTTAAAGAACCATATTAAGAAATAATCCAAGTGACTGGATGTTTTAGTTGTTTCGCACTTTAATCAGTGAGATAACTGACAGCCATCAGGATATTTCTAATGCTTCATGTGATAATACCATGACTAATTCCACCAGTGAGTGAGTGACATTTCTTTCTCGAGGAAAGAACGCAAATTAACTTAAAATGTTTTAGGCTCTGCTCTGTACCCTGGTGGACCTCAACCTTTATAACTACTAGTTAAGTGAGAGCAACAGGTACTGTTGTAGAGGTTTTTGCTATTGGCAACTGATTGAGCGTTTCAGCGGAGCTGTGGTTAAGATGACCTACGTGAGGAATATTTGGTAGTTATAATTTCATTGCGTAACACTAGGCTATGCTAGTCAGTCTGTCGGTGCGGGCTGATGTCCATCGCTCTCCTAACGGCCGGCATGTGTGCTCTCGTTCAGTTTGTTGAGATGCTGGAATCAGTTGCCCAGTACGTAGTTGCTGGGACACCGGTCTCTCTCTCAGAAGCGTAAGCCTGGCTCCTCCTCCCCTGCGCGTAAGAAGGCTTTGATTTCTTCCTCGGCCCCTACTTCTTACTCTATCGCTCCTTCCCCTGCTATGGAGGTTTCTTTGGCCCCCGCTTCCCTCTCGGTTGCTGCCCTTGCTGAGGTGCGCTCCCCTCTTTCTACTCCCCATTTGACTGCTCCTGTCGGTTACATCCTCCTTCCTCTTTCTCCTCCTCAGGATCCCGCCCTTACACCTCTGATCTGTTATCTCGCTTCCTTCCCTCCGTCTTTGCTCAATTTATCCATGCCCCCTAACCCTGATTTTGCTGACCCTGATCCTGATCTTTAATGTGATGTGTTCCTCTTTCACCGTTTTCTTGTTCTGTTGTTGCCCTTTCTCTTCTCGTCAATGTTTATTCTTCAATGGAATGTTCGGGGTTAATACGCCAATTTCCTTTAACTTTAAATTCTGATTTCGCGGTTTTCGCTTTTGTGTCAGTCTCCAGGAGCTGATGCTTGGTGCTCGTCCTGGTTGCTTTCGTGGCTATTCCTTTCTCTCCCCCCCCCCCCCCCCCCAGTTGCTGGGACTCCTAACTCTTCTGCTCTTGATTCGTTCTGATGTTCCCTTTGTCCCCTTACTTTTTCCTTTGCCTCTCTATTGTTCTGCTGCTCGTATCTTTGTGGGGAAATGGTGCACCGTTTGTTACATTTATCTCCCCCCCCCCCACCCAGAGTGTCCCGCTTTTATTTCCTGATCTGTACCTACAGAACTCCTTGTTGGAGTGATTTCCTGCTGGGTGATTTCAATTATCATTCCCTTTGGGGTGATGTTCTTTCGAACACCCGAGGTCGCCTTCTTGAGCAGTTTATCCTCTCTTCTTCCCTGTCTCTTCTGAATTCTGGTGAGCCCACGCATTTGAACTCGGACTCGCACCCTTTCCTGTCTTTATCTTTCTTTTTGCTCTTCTCTTTACTTAGATTTCATGTGGCAGGTTCTTGAAGACCTCCATGGCAGTGACCATTTCACCATCCTTGTTACCTTTTCACCCTCTCCTTCCATAGGTGGCAGTTTGTTAAAGTGGACTGGAACCTTTTTACCCTCGGTGCTACTCTCTCTAACATCTCCCTTCTGCCTCTCCCTCACTCTCTCCTCCTTTTTCATGACGCTGTCTTTAACGCTGCCCTCAGCTCTTCCTCTCGGGTCAACGGAAGTGCATTCCCTGGTGGAATGCAGACTATTCGGGCTGTCCGCTGTTAGCGTGCAGCCTGAAAGAGACCCCGCTGTCGGCAGACAGTCGATTCTTTTTTTTGCTTTAGAAAGGTGTGTGGTGACCCGTAGGGCCATCCGTACGGCTAAACGTGAATGTTGGGGCATCTTATGTCTCCACCGTTAAGTCCGAAACTCCCCTACCACAGATGCTTCGCCATCTCCCTCCGTGCACATCGCGGTATGTACAGAGTCTGTATAATCGGATCTGGGAGTCATGGTCAGTCCCCGAGGACTGGCTCGATGCCGTTGTCCTCCCTGTTCGAAAACCAGGATCTCTGGGAACATCCCCTAAGGACTTTCGCCCTATTGTCCTCACAAGTTGTCTGCAAACTTTGAACGTATGGTTAACGTTCGTCTGATGTGGTTCCTGGAACACAATTGCCGCCGCCTCCTCTTCTCAATTTGATTTCCGCAAGTGCCGGAGCACAACAGATGTCCTGATGAACTTGGTCTGTATTCGTACTGATTTTGCTGCGAAGAACTCCGTTGTTGCCGTCCTTTTTTACCTGGAAAAGGCTTACGACACCACTTAGCGGTATCATATTCTGTCCCAGCCTCATTCTTTTGGCCTTCGTGGTCATCTCCCTCTTTCTCTGCAGCTTCCTCTCTCGTAGTTCTTTTCGGGTGAGGCTTGGTATCACTCTTTCTGCCTCTTTTCAGCAATACAAAGGTGTGAAGTGTTTTGAGCACTACTTTTTTCTGGTTGCCCTCAATGGTCCTTCCTCTCTTCCTTCAGGTGTCTTCTCCGCTCTGTCGATGATTTTACCCTTTGTCAGGGTGGTGATTCGCCTCTCCTTCAACGCCGACTTCAACTTGAGATTGATGCCGTGTCGTCTTGGGCCACCGATTATTGCTTAAAGTTCTCTACTACTAAGACTTGTGCCATGACTTTTACTCGGAAACAGATCTTTCTTCGTCCCTCTTGTCACTTTATGGTCATCCCCTCGAGTACAAAGATTCTGCAAAGCTTTTGAGGTTATTCCTTGACACTCGTTTGTCTTGGTCTCCCCATATCTCTTACCTCCGTGTTGAGTGCTCTAAGGCCCTTACCCTCCTTCGGGTCTTGTCCCATACTTCTTGGGGGAGTGGATAGGCGCGCACTCCTTGCTTTACATTCCTCTCTCGTCCTGTCTAAGCTCGATTATGGTTACCCTGCTTACTCGTCTGCTTCTCCTTCTACTCTTTGCCGTCTTGATGCTTTGCACCATACTGGGTTGCACCTCAGTTCTGTTGCCTTCCGTTAGACTCCCATCCTCAGCTTGTATGTTGGCACTGGCTTCCTATTTCTCCAGGACCGCCGTGATCGCAACTGTCTTCGCTATCTTGCGGGTCCTTGCAACATCCTTCCTCTCGTCTCTGTCGTGCTTTAGCTTTTACCCCTCCTGCGGTTCTTATTCCTCTTAAACACCTTCCTCGTTCTCTGGTAATCTCGCTTACAGAATTCTTTCCCCGTTCCTATTTCTAATATTTCTCCTCGTGTTCCTTCTTTGGCCCCCGTGGAGAGTCCCCCTTCCGCAGTTTTGTACATCGTTGACACGCATCACTAAAGATCTTGCCCCTCCTACGGTTCTAAAAAGCCTTTTCCTTGAGCACTTTTCTTCTCACTAGCACTCTGTTTCAGTCTTCACCGATGGGTCTAAGTCTGCGGACGGTTTTGGCTACTGTTGTTTTTCCTGATCACACTTGTGTCGCTTACCTCCGGAGACTAGCATCTTCACAGCGGAGCTTTATGCTATGCTCTTCGTCTCCTTCTCTCTCGTTGATAATCTTCCTTTGTAGTTGACTCTCGTAGTGCCCTCATGGCTCTCGGGTCTTTTAATCCGGTTCATGCAGTGGTTGTCGAGATCCAGCATTGGCTGTTTCTTGTCCACGGTAAATTTAAGTCAGTTGAGTTTTGTTGGGTTCCCAGCCATATTGGTGTCTTTCAATGTGTGCGGATGCTGCCTTCAGGCTAGATGTCTGCTAGTGTGCCATCTCTCGTAAAGGTATTCCTTATTCTGACTTTTACATGGTTATCCATTCCTCCATCCTTGCCCGTTGGCAGGCTTGTTGGTCGTATGTTACTGGTAACAAACTACGTTCTCTTGAAAGTAGTCTTCGTGGCCGTCCTCTTACCACCGTAATGGGAAACGGCTCTGCTTCAATAACTTTAATATACTCATGGGTGTAAAAAGTTTTGTACAGTAAACATAATTTATTGAAATTAAGCATCTGAACTTTGCTCTTAAAATTCGGTTCAGTAATACTTTCATCATAATTTCATTGCTCTAACATGCAGTTGAATACTTGAATTGGATTCAACAGAGCAAGCATACTTCTAAAGTGGTTTTCAAATTAGTGTTAGGCATTAAACTACTTTAATAGCAAAGTTTTTAAATATCGACCCCCTCCCCGCTCAGCTCGTTGTCGCCGTGTGGGGGCTTAGTGGGCGGCTGCCGGAGTGTGATGCTCCTTGGGACAGTCCTCTGTCCTTTTCTAGCCTTGTGCTCCTGCTGCCGTCCTCTCCAATTCTGCTGGGCATCTTTTCCTTTTCCTTCTGTTTCGTTTTTCTCCCCCCTCTTCTCCTATCTGCTTGCCGTTTCCTACCGACCTTTTGCTCGTTCTGGTTCTTCCCTTGGACTTCTTCTATTTTGACGCCCGGGTGCTTGAGGAGGCATACTCATGCACCCGTAGAACTGCAGTACCCGACGTAGAGAGCGAGGGGAACCTTTTATTGTCAATCCCCACTTCGTCACTGAACCCGATCTCGACGGACTGTCGGTTTCTTAAGGTGGCGTTTGTGGGGCGTATACTCGCGACGCACCCCTAGGAGGCCCCGACAAGATTGGCGATAGCTTCTTGTTGGGTGTCCTGCCTCTAATTGTGGCTCCATGGTGGGTGTGGGGGCACATTCGTGAGTGAATTCTTTCTTTCGTCAAGATGATTACCCCTGCTTCGGCTTCTTCTGGTTTACCTTCTCAGGCTCGTGGGGTGGGCGACCAAGCCCCCGAGTCGGTCTGTATTGGAAGACCGGGCTCTGTAGCCTCCGCTGCATTGGGCCCCGACCTTGCTCCTCCTTTGGCCTCTCTGACTCCTTCCTCTGGCTCCCCTCCCTCCTCTGTGGTTGGGTCGAGCCCCAAGCCCCCAGTGGTGACTACCTCGTCCCCTGGCGCGGCTCCTTCCCTAGTTGTAACTACTGCGCCTTTTAACCCCTCTCTCTCTGGGGGTTCTCACCGCCGTCCTCGTCGCGGCCGCCCTCGCTCGATTCCTTCCAGTTCTGCTACGTATCAAGCCTTGTTTGGTCTCGCTTCGTGGGCCAAATATTTTGATCTCCTCCCTCTTGATTCTGCGCCTCCTGACGATTTCTCCCTCCATCGACATCTCATTGATTCCGTGGATGCCTCCATTACTTTCAACCCCACTCGTCTCGGTACACGTGTCGTTGCTGCTCCTTCTCAGGATGCTGCTTCCCGCTTGGCTGCCTTATCCTGCCTTGGCGAGACCCCCGTTCGGGTCTCGAAGAACGTTCAGTTGAATGCCAGTGTTGGCACTATTTTGCTCCTGCCCCATGTTGCGACCGGTGTTCGGGACCTGCGCGACTGCCACGACGATATTCGACATATCCTCGCTGCCCAGGGCCATTCTATTCTCCAGGTGGACACGTTTACTCGTCCCCCTCGTGGTAGTCGCCGTCAACCCCTCCGGGTTGTGAAGATTACCTTTGATGGTAGGACCCTTCCACCCTCTGTCATTCTTGCTGGTGCCAGGTGCTCTGTCCAGGAGTACATTCCTTCTCCTCGGCTCTGCAACAAGTGCTGGAGGTTTGGGCATGGTGCCCTCCGCTGCTCCGGGACTGACTCTCTCTCTGTCCTTTGTGTGGTGGCGAAGGTCACTCTAAGTCGGAGTGCGCTTCTCCCCAGGCTCGTTGCCTCAACTGCGGTGAGGCCCATCCTACCTTCTCCCGTGCGTGTGTCCATTACAAGCTTGAGGCAGCCGTCCTCAACTTGAAGCACCGGGAGCGTTTATCTTTTCCTGAGGCGAGGCGCCAGGTTCGCCGGCTCCCGCCTTATGCTAATATCTCTTATGCTCGCGTGTTGCGCTCTTCCTCTCCTCGTCCTTCCCGCCTTCCTCAGACTCACAACCGTTTCCGGGCCTTGGACCCTGATGCGCCCACTGCCCCCTCCTCTGTCCCTTTGGGTTCTCTCCCGAAGGATCCTCCTCCTGGTCCTCTGTCTGGGGTTCCCCTTCCTTCTACCCGGTCTGTCGTGTCTTCTGTGTCTTCTTCTTCGTCCCCCTCCGATCCTCCTTCCCATCCTCTTCCTCCATCTATCGGCTCTCCCCGCCGCCTGTCGGTACGGGCGGATGTCCATCGCTCTCCTAACGGCCGTCGTGTGCGCTCCTCTCTTTCTACTCCCCCTCTTCCTGCTGCTGTCCTTGACTGCTCCTCTCCGTTGTCTCCTCCTCCTCCTCCTCCTCCTCCGGACCCTGCCCGCCCACCTCTGATCTGTTCTCCCGTTTCCTTCCCTCCGTCTTTGCTCAGTTTACCCATGCCCCCTAACCCTGACTTTGCTGACCCTGATCCCGACCCTGATATTCTTTAACGTGCTCTGTTGGTCTTTCGCCTTTGTTTCTTCCTTGTTCTCTGTTTTTGTCCTTTCTCTTCTCGTCGTTGTCCATTCTTCAATGGAACGTTCGAGGTTATTACGCCAATTTCCTCGAACTCCAACTTCTGGTTTCGCGGTTTTCGCCCCTTTGTGTCTGTCTCCAGGAGCCAATGCTTGGTGCTCGTCCTGGTCGTTTTCGTGGCTATTCCTTTCTCTCCCCCCCCCCCCAGCCATTGCTGGGGCTTCTAATTCTTCTGCTCTCTTGATTCGGGCTGATGTTCCCTTTGTTCCTTTACTTTTTCCTTCGCCTCTCCATTGTTCTGCTGCTCGTATCTTTGTGGGGAAATGGTACACAGTTTGTTCCATTTATCTCCCCCCGAGTGTCCCGCTCTCTCTTCCTGATTTGAAACACCTCCTAGACTCCTTGCCGGAGCCTGTGCTCCTGCTGGGTGACTTCAATTGTCGTCATTCTCTTTGGGGTGAGGTTCTGACGAATACCCGGGGTCGCCTCCTTGAGCCGTTTCTCCTCTCTTCCCTGTCTCTTCTGAATTCTGGTGAGCCCACTCATTTGGACTCGAACTCGCACCCTTTCTTGTCTTGATCTTTCTCTCTGCTCTTCTTCTCTTTACTTAGATTTCACGTGGCAGGTTCTTGATGACCTCCATGGAAGTGATCATTTCCCCATCCTTGTTTCCTTTTTCTTTTTTCGCCCTTCCCTCTCTTTCCCTAGGTGGCAGTTTGCTAAGGCGGACTGGACCCTATTTTCCCTCAGTGCTACTCTCTCTGACCTCTCCCTTCTGCCCCTCTCTCGCGCTCTCCTCCTTTTTCATGACACTGTCTTCGACGCTGCCCTCCGCTCTATTCCTCGCTCTTCCTCTCGGGGTCCACGGAAGTGCATTCCCTGGTGGAATGCGGACTGTGCTCGGGCTGTCCGCTGTAAGCGTGCAGCCTGGAAGAAGCACCGCCGTAGGCAGACGACCGATTCTTTTCTTTTCTTTCGGAAAGCGAGTGCGGTGGCCCGTAGGGCCATCCGTACGGCTAAACGTGAATGTTGGGCATCTTATGTCTCGACAATTACGTCCGAAACCCCTCTGGCCCAGATCTGGAAGCGTATCCGCAAGATAGCGGGTAAGTTCGTTCCCGATGTTTCACCGGTCCTTCACCTCCATGATACTCTTGTGGCGGACCCGTTGCAGGTCGCTTCCGAACTGGGTTCCCACTTTTCTTCTGTTAGCTCTGGTCTTCATCTTCCCCAATCTTTCCTTCTTCGTAAACCTGTCCTTGAGTCTCGTCCTTTAGATTTCTGCACTCATCTTCAGCTTCCCTATAATGATCCCTTCTCTCTCTCTGAACTTCGTTCTGCCCTGGCCCTCTGCGGTTCTACGGCGGCGGGCTCCGATGGTATTCATTATGAGATGCTTCGCCATCTCACTCCGAGCACGTCTCGGTATTTACTGAGTCTGTATAATCGGATCTGGGAGTCGTCGTCAGTCCCTGAGGACTGGCTCGATGCCGTTGTCCTCCCTGTTCGCAAACCGGGGTCTCTGGGTACTTCCCCTAAGGACTTTCGCCCTAATTGCTCTCACAAGTTGTGTCTGCAAACTCTTTGAACGTATGGTTAACGTTCGTCTGATGTGGTTCCTGGAACACCATCACCTCCTCTCCCCTTCTCAATTTGGTTTCCGCAAGTGCCGCAGCACGACAGATGTCCTAGTGAACTTGGAGGTCTATATTCGTACTGCTTTTGCTGCGAAGACCTCCGTTGTTGCCGTCCTTTTTGACCTGGAAAAGGCTTACGACACCACTTGGCGTTATCATATCCTATCTCAACTTCATTCTTTTGGCCTTCGTGGTCATCTCCCTCTCTTTCTCCGCGGCTTCCTCTCTCGTCGTTCCTTTCGGGTGCGCCTTGGTACCGCTCTCTCTCCCTCTTTTCAGCAATACGAAGGTGTGCCCAGGGTAGTGTTCTGAGCACTACTCTTTTTCTGGTTGCCCTCAATGGTCTTCTTTCCTCTCTTCCTTCTGGTGTATTCTCCGCTCTCTATGTCGATGATCTTACCCTTTGTTGTCAGGGTGATGATTCGCCTCTCCTTCAACGCCGGCTTCAACTTGCAATTGATGCCGTATCGTCTTGGGCCACTGATCATGGCTTCAAGTTCTCTACTTCTAAGACTTGTGCCATGACTTTTACGCGGAAACGGGTTGTTCTTCGTCCCTCTTTGTCACTTTATGGTCATCCCCTTGAATACAAAGATTCCGCCAAGCTTTTGGGGTTATTCCTTGACACTCGTTTGTCTTGGTCTCCCCATATCTCTTACCTCCGTGTTGAGTGCTCTAAGGCCCTTACTCTCCTTCGGGTCTTGTCCCATACTTCTTGGGGGGCAGATAGGCGCACTCTCCTTGCTTTACATTCCTCTCTCGTCCTGTCTAAGCTCGATTATGGTTGCCCTGCTTACTCGTCTGCTTCTCCTTCTACTCTTCGCCGTCTTGATGCTTTGCACCATACTGGGTTGCGCCTCAGTTCTGGTGCCTTTCGTTCGACTCCCGTCCTTAGCTTGTATGTTGACACTGGCTTCCTGTCTCTCCAGGACCGCCGTGATCGCTACTGTCTTCGCTATCTTGCGCGGTCCTTGCAACATCCTTCCTCTCGCCTCTGTCGTGCTTTAACTTTTACCCCTCCTGCGGTTCCTGTTCCTCTTCACCACCTCCCTCTTTCTGTCCGGTTATCTCGCCTGCAGGTATCTCTTTCCGTTCGTATTTCTGATGTTTCTCCTCGTGTTGTTCCTTCTTTGCCCCCGTGGAGGGGCCCTCTTCCGCGGTTTTGTACATCCTTGACCCGTATCACTAAAGCTTTTACCCCTCCTACGGTTCTAAAACGCCTTTTCCTCAAGCACTTTTCTTCTCACTCCCGCTCCGTTTCTGTCTTCACCGATGGGTCTAAGTCAGCGGACAGTGTTGGCTACTCTGTTGTTTTTCCTGATCGCACTTATGTGTCGCTTGCCTCCGGAGACTAGCATCTTTACAGCGGAACTTTATGCTATTCTCTATGCTCTTCGTCTCCTGCTTTCTCGTTGTCAGTCTTCCTTTGTAGTTGTTGTTGACTGTCGTAGTGCCCTCATGGCTCTCGGGTCCTTTAATCCGGTTCATCCAGTGGTTGTCGAGATCCAGCATTGGCTGTTTCTCGTTCACAGTAAATTTAAGTCGGTTGAGTTTTGTTGGGTTCCCAGCCATATTGGTGTGTCTTTAAATGAGCGTGCGGATGCTGCCGCCAAGGAAGCTGTCCGCTCTTGTCCCATCTCTCGTAAGGGCATTCCGTATTCCGACTTTTACCCGGTTATCCATTCCTCAGTCCTTACCTGTTGGCAGGCTTCTTGGTTGTCTGTTACTGGTAACAAGCTACGTACTCTTAA